TGGAGAAGAGGGGGCAGGACAGGCCCGGGATGGTTAGCACCGCTCCCCACACCCTCACACTGGGAGGCCCTCTCCCCGCTGTGGGGACCTGCCCTGCACCCGGCCTTGTCCCCTCCTGCAGACCTCCCCCTCGGGCACCTCCTCTGGGTGCTCCCCACCTTGGACCTGCCCCCCAGAGTATGGGAGGGTGTGGCTCACTGCTTTCAGCATCTTGCTGCCCTCCCACCCCTTCAGCCCCAACCACATCCATACCATGCCCGCCCCGCCCCCACTGCAGGGAACCCCAAAAGTACCCGCGTCTGACAGATGCCAACTTTTTACTAAAAAAAGGAAGTTAAAACACAAGCAGTGTGGTCACAGCACATTTTAATACCAAAAGTGTGGGAAGGCCACTGTGCCAGACTAAGGGAGTCTTTAAATAGAGCCAGGAAGCTGGGGGCCACTCCTTCCTGCCGGGAGCAGACACTGCATCTCCGCCGCCCGGCCCTGCACAGCCTCCCGGCCCGGCACAGCGGTCACCACAGCACCTCCTGGGACACTGGCTCCTGCCCATCTAGGCCTTTCTGCTCTCAGGCTCTGCTGCAGGGGGGGGGGGCGGTTCTGCTTCCTTTGACCCATCTACCCCTTCCTCCGCCCCCCGCCGGGTGACAGGGAGCGGCACCGCAGGCACGTGCAGTTACTGCCTCCGTTTTCACACTGAAGACAGTGGGACTGTCCTAGGGTTAGGTCTGGGCCAGAGGCTGACACAGACGCTCAGACCAGCACGTGGCCCTGCCTGGGAGGGCATGCGCCCTCCAGGGGCAGGACTGAGCGGGGCTTCAGGAGGGACAGGAACCCCACCAGCCTGCGGCCGCTCACTGCCAGGACCGCCTCAAGGAGACACTGAACCCCGTGCGGCCTGGCCCAGCCCCTCGGGTGAGGGGTCTGACGGGGGAGCCTTACTGCAGGCCCACCGCTCTGGCCCTTCCCCCAGCTGACCCTGCTCTCACCCTGTGCTGAGTGGGGGCAGCGCTGGGCCTGGCTGGGGCGTGCACCCCCTCTGGGAGCTGGGACCCAGGCGGCTGTGGCTATGGAGGCTTGGGCTGGGGCGGGGCAGGTAAGCCATTCAGGCTGCACATAGGGTAGATGGACCTGGGTAACCCCAGTGCCTGTAGCCAGGTGTGTGTGTGGGGGGGGATTACTCCAGGGACAGGGCCTGGGACAATGCCTGGAGGGGGGAGCCCATGGCTGGGTCCCACACCGCCCCCTGGTGGCCTCTCAAGAAACCAGCAATCAGCAGGCCAAGCTCCTCATCCCTCCCGACCCAAGGACGGTGGGCGAGGGGTCCCAGGCAAGTGGGTGGGTGGGCCCTGTGAGGAGGGGCTGCCCGTCAGCTGCCTGTTCCTGTCCTGGGCTGGGCAGCCGGTGGGGCTGAAGGACACATCAAATGCAACGCATTGGGCCTTCCAGGACTCGGCAGACGGGTGCCGGCAGGGGGCAGGGCCCCAGGCCCCAAG